TTTTTTTTTTAAATAATAACAACAAAAAAAATGTAAATACATTTTTTTTTTTAAACCTTTATTTAACCAGATGGTCCCATTGAGATCATCGATCTGTTTTTCAAGGGAGACCTGTCCAACATGGCAGCAAGTAGGTTACAAAATGAACATAAAACAACAGATAACAATAAAGGACATCGTATTTACAGGGCTACATGTACACACCTAGAGACATTGACAAGTACCAACAGTATATTTATATCTCGCCCTGTCAATAAGCCTCACCTTCTTGGCAAAAACTGTATTGTTTTTGAAGTGGTGGAGAGACAATGCACAGTTTGACCCACTGCTGTCACCCATGGCCAAAGCATATATCTCTCTCCCAGCAACATCAGTACCAAGCAAGAGAGTTTTTTCCACAGCAGGGGATTTTGTAAATGCCCAAACATCCCAGCTTCTACCTGGAAATGTGGACATGCTCATATTCCTAAAAGATAACCTTGATGATGCTGAGTGAGTGAGAGAGTGAGTTAGAGTTGAGTTACTTGAAAAACTAAAGTGAAACTTGATTTATTCTATTGCAGGGTCTGATTATTATATTGTTGACACTTTAAAATACTACTATCCTACTAAAATGCTGTACAAATCAGATGTATTATTTAATAAAGAAAAACAAATTCAAGTAAAAAAAAAGAGAAAAAATTCAAAAAGAATTCCCTTTGTTTTTTAATATCGCGATAAATATCGTACCGTGGACTTTTTAATCGCGATATTATCGTACCGTGAGTTTTTGGTATCGTTACATCCCTAGTAAGTTGGATTACAATTTTAATATGATTTATTTTTTAATGTAACATTATGTAATATATTATTCAGTTATTTATGGAGCTATTTTTTCAATCTCCTTCGTACAGTCATTCTAAGCATTTGAGCTACTTTGGCTAAAGGGTTTTATAGAATTGTTGGATGCTGCACCATAGCTCTGTGGAAGAATATGTACATATGTATCTTTACATATAGCATATGGTTGTTTGCTGACATCATATTGTCAAAGCATAATTTGAGAAAAAATACAGAAGCATTTTAGATACCTGTAACACATACCGTCTGAATTTAAAGGCAACTTCATGAATCAAGTTAAGATAAGAATAGGGCAGGTTGAGAACACAATCTGAATCGACAGTGAAATAAATACACTTTCATTTGCTCAGAGAGATTCCTAGACTGACTGACCCTGAGGTTAATGTGAAGTTTTCTCTTCCTCTTTGGGTTTTAACATTTTCCTTCAGAGACTCAACTCTCACGTTCATTCTCTAATCTTACAGAGGCGTATAACCCTGAGGATGGGAATAAAAGAAGAAGAAATTACTTTCATTAAGAAATTCAGATTTCCCCCATCCTTTTGATCTTGTGCCAGAAGAACATTTATGCTGATGAAATGCATAAATAAGGTTCCTAAATTATCCCGTTCCTCTTTAGCGCATGTATCAGAGTTGGAGAACTTCCAGACAAGACAACTACAATCACAGAGAGTGCCTCTGAAAAGGGAAGATTTAGAAGATGTCCTGCCACTGCTTTAAACGTCATGTCCAGACTTCACTGCCCACTCATCCATTTCCTGCAAGCCATGTGAAGGAAATATGTACGTTTGTGTTAATGTGCTGTGTCAGGAGAATCAAGGATATCAGTGTGTTTTTAAATGTATTTCTTTAGCGCAGAACTGCGCAAAGAACAATGCGTGTACCCGCCCGGTGAGTCCAAAATGAAATAGGTTTGTATTTGGCTCGTGCCACACCCTTCCATCAATCTACTTCAACATCAGTCCAGTAGTTATTTCATAACCCTGCTGACAAAACAACAATCAAACCAACAAATCAAAAACTGATCAAATTCGATGCAGAACCAGATCTGTTTTATTGAATTTTTTGTTTTCAAAAGCTGTTGCCTACATTGCCCACAGTGCAACTGAGCAACTTGAAACTGCTGGCCTCAAGCAGAGATGAGGAGGCAGTGTTGCCAACTTGACGACTTTCTCGCAAAATCGGGCGACTTTCCAAACCCTCCGGCTACTTTTGTTTGTCAAAAGCGACTTGCGACAAATCCAGCTACTTTTTCTGGTGTTATTGGAGACTTTTCTGGTGTTTGGAGAATCTGACGTGATAGCACGTAATCGTTACGCAGTTACTTTCCTCGACGAGCAGCGGGTGCTGAGCCCCTCCGCCGAAGCACTCACAGGCAGCCTCGCTAGGCAGCTGCACTCGAGCAGAGAGGTGGCAAAGTGACCCAAAAGAGACACACTACACGTCCAGACTGAATATTAATCGCGCATGCGCCAATGCCATTGCTGATCCAGCCCTGGCTTGCTGTGTGTCTCTTTTAGGTCACTTTGTCAGTCCCGAGCCCAGATAAAGAAGGAAGGTAGCAATTCCATCCCACATAACACTTTTTTTTGATTAAATGTGACTAATTATTTAACAATACTGGACACAATGTATGTATGTAATGTTGGTCTAGAGTAGACAAGCATTAAAGTCATCAAGTGATGGCCAAAAATTGAAAAAAAACAAAATAAGAATCAACAAAAGGAAGTTCATTTGTAGTTCTAAACACATTAAGGGTGTTTTTTTCCACTTTTTGTCTCTCCTTCGGCGTCCATTACAACTACGTGCAAATGGCTAAATATGCAAATTAGGCGATGACGTCATTTAGCGACTTCTAGCTACTTTTAGGACAGCCAATAGCTACTTTCCTTACTATGGAGTTGGCAACACTGTGAGGAGGGGTGGAGTCAGAAAAGAGTGATATACCAGATCACTTCTTTCTCACTCCTGCAGATCTTTTTCATTTTTCACAATTCCTTTTGTTTTACAAATCGCGTCCATGAATCTGATACACATAGCTCTTAATGAGGAGGAAAGCTGAATACATAACACAGCTATTTCCCTTCTCAATTTCCAGAAATGACCTACAAACTTACCCACACTATTGCTGGCAAAACAAAAACCTGGACCACGTCATTTCCAGTAACTGGACATAGGCTGAACCATAAGGCGCGTTCACACCGCAGTACTTTTCCCACTTTAGTTCCGATATAGTTCCGAAATGTCGCGTTCACACCAAAAAGAGCCGGAACTAAAATGAGTTAATGAGAACCTTTTCACCCCCTTTTCCGTCCCTGCTAGAGAGCAGGGACTTTCGTAGGAGACAAAGGTTCCTATGTCTGATTGGCTGGGCGGATTGCAAACCACGCCCCGTAAAACTCCCAAAAAGTTTTGTGAAGCCGCCATTTTATTATCCTCGCATTAGCATTATTAGCATTAGCATTAGCCCAGCGCAGAAACGCAGAGAGACTAACTTATGGCAACACAAAATAAAACATGGGAGCGGTGGAGATGAGGAGGTGTCGGCGTTCTGGCGATTTACTCGGAAGGCTTCAGTAGAAGCTGCTGGGAGTCCCAGCAGCTTCTACTGAAGCCAGTCCCCAACTCCGGGGACTTCCGGCCGGGGACTTTGGGCGGCAGCATACGCCGTGAAGTGGTTTGCGGCCTGCCAGTAAACCCAAAGCAGAAGAAGAAGAAGTGACGTCAGCGGCTTCATTTGCCTAATCCACCCCCAGGGACTTATTCCGGTGTGAACGCGATCTGTACTTAGTTCATGAGAACTAAAGAGTTCTTATGAACTAAGTTCTGATGAACCTTTGTGGGAAAAGTACTGCGGTGTGAATGCGCCTAAAGTCTAATGAAACTGAAAGAGGCAAACACTTCTGCACTGAACGGTTTCCTGGTGGCTTTGCGAGATGACGTGTCTTTCCTGACAAGATTGTGAAAGACGAGATGAGACAGAACCCTCTGTTTAATGTCATCCGCAAAGTAAGGTACACTGTGTTACATTCTAACATGATTTTAATACGTGCATTTAAACCACAACTGAGTGCTTATCAGCTGGAACTGGAGATAGCTATGGATCAGCTCACTGAAAGATGTGCGAGTGAAAACAATATAATCATCATCTAATTCACCAAGGAAGAGATGTGTGAAATTCCTCCATTGTAAAAAGACAACGATGACATCGCTGATATCATTATAGAGCGAGAGAATATTAATAATCTAGCAGGTTGTGTGTGGCAGGAAGAAAAAGTAGTGGGTAGCCAAGAAAAATCTGAAGATGAGCTACTACTATCAGGCTCTGCTAGCTAACAGGAGTAACAGGTGTCTACAACCTGCATTCATTGATTTTTGCCACACAAAGAAAACAATATTCACCACACATTAACATGTTATAGGCTTTGTGTCTAACATTAATACATATGATATGCTTAATGTAGCTGGTAGAGCTGAAGCAGAAGTGGCACAGTACTCATTTAATTTTATTGGATAGGGCCCCTGCTAATTTAAATATATTTGAATATACCCCAAAGAAAATGTGCTTATATGTGTAGGCACTTTGATTGGGCCTGGTACTGAATGGAACGGAGGAGAGGGGGGGCAGCAGGGCCAGATTACTGTTGAGTTCTCTGACAATAGAGAGGCTCACCCAGCCCTAGTCAGTAGCTTGCTGGCTAGCACCTACTGGTACTGAGACAATAATACAAGTCTGCTAACAGATTCAAGAGCTAACCTTTTCATATCAAACAAACGGCACTGAACACTTTAAGAGACTGACCTTGTTTCATTATCTTCAGCATATTCTCATGTAATTCAACAGTATTGGTCATTATAAATTGAACAACTTCAAAACATTCCTTTCAGGGGAAGACACCATGAAATAAAGTTTAATTAAGTGACCAACAACTAAACAGAGGGAAAGAAAAAGAGGAAATGAAGATATGTGTGGCGAGGGTTTGGAGCCTGCCGGGCATTGATGATGAAATGTAGTTGTTGAGGTAAAAATATGTGAACATTCCAGCACAGAGCTACCAACATGCCCGTTCTGATATCATAAAGTGCTTACTTGCAACATGAGACATGAGTAACCAGAGTTAGCCCAAACTATATGGTGAGGCAGAACAAAAAGTGACTTACAATATAGCAAGGCTCACAGTACGCCTTCTTCTCCACAGCGTAGAAAGGCTTGCCGCGCAGCTTGCTGCTGCAGGTCATGCAGACGAAGCAGTCGACATGGAAGACCTGGTCCATGGCGGTGCAGCCGGTGCCCTCACCCACCACGTTGTCCCCACAGCTGGCACAGCGCCCTGGGCACAGCAAGAGGAGGGGAGGCTGAGAACATGTTCAGTAGAAAACCACAGATATTTGAGGTCAGATAACATCCGTCAGGAAACCAACAGTCACATCCCACTCACTGGAAACACATCGAGCTGCAAACACATGATCACACCATGGATACTGTTATGAGCTGGAGAGTGAGACTGTTTACCAGGCCTGTCAGACACAATGATCCTATAATCAGATAGTGATGATACAGGGCATCCTGCAGTGTGCAGAGAATCTCTTTCAGGACAGTGACCAGGTTAAACATATATATTATCTTAAAAATGTTTTGTTTACTGAATAGTTTCATGATACTGATAAGAGAGTATATATATAATATAATATATACGTATATAATATGGCTTTAAAAACGCAGTGTCTTAATTGAACCTGAATAGTTTCTGTGAAACCGAAACCTGGGCCTGGATCAGGGCAGCAGTTATTGGCCTAAGACAATTAAAACCCTTAAAGTAGCTTGCGTTACGACGCAGCGTCATTCCAAAGAAGCACCTCTTCTCGGTTTGCCTCAGCAAGAAGGGCTGGTGAGATATCTCACTCATGTTACTCTGAGAGCCGGGGTTACGCTAGTAACCTATAGTGCTCATTCATAACATTCGTTCCGATGTCTCACTATGGAATATGGAGACTCCCGTACTGCCAGCGATGCTTATTTTTGAAAAACCACCAGTACTCAATAGGAAGAACTCTGTCCCACGCGGACCCTGAGCCCAGCACTGCATGGGCCACGCTTGGAGCAGACACATCCAATCTGTAAAAACGGACAAAGTGAGCGGTGAAGACCAGCTCGCTGCCGCACAAATGTCCTGGATGGAAACCCCCTTAACCAAAGCCCAGGACGTAGGCCACAAGTAGAATGAGCATGCAGACCCTATAGGCCAGAGCTGTCCCTCCCACAATCCAGTGGGAGAGCCGCTGCCTGGTAACAGTGGGACAATTGCCGGACTTCATGCCAATGAAACAGCCATTAAGGCCTTTTTTTATCCGCAAACTTCCAAGCATATCCGAGAACTTATTTTTTGTAAAAAATGATTAACCTTTAAATCTAGAACAAAAATGCTGATCACAAGTACTGGAAAGGAAATGTTTAGCATTTTTACGCAAAAATGGGAATGGGCTAAATGATTTTAAACATAGTTATCGTTGACCTTTCTGCTGGTTAATCTGTGTTAATCCTGTTACCTGCTGCTGTTCATGTCTGTCAGACAGGCTCCTTACATCCACTGCTGTGTTCCAACAGCTTTCCCTTTAAATGCTTCACTTCCTGATGTCAGTGCATAATCTTTATTTCTATTTCAAAGGCTGGATAAGGAAGGATTAAATACTATAATTATGCCACATTAAAGAAACCATACACATCACCAAAGTGTGACATGGGCGTTATCTATAAAAAAAAAAAATCAGGCTTTAAATGATAAAAAAAGGAAACTTTAAACTTTAGTCAAAGGGCACGAGTGAACTGATACTGTTGCGCCAGAAAGAGCCTGATTGCATATTGCGGGACATGGCATTTGGATATCTTTAATTGAGTTGCAGATATCTTTAATTGAGTTTAAGATGTCCTCGACTCAATGCAAGTTATCTTCAACCAAATTAATAACACTGTCAATTTAATTAATGGTATCTTACAATAACAGGGTTTAAAAAGATATCTGAGAATGTTTTATTTTTTACACATCTGAGGACAGATGCAATCTCTCAGTGGAAGCATGATACAGTTTATTTAATTAATTCAAGTTTAGTTGTATGGATCTTTTCTTGTTCCTTTTTTGCTTCATCTAAAGGCTGATTTGGGCGATGATTGACACTGTATGTTCTGAACAGAGCGGTTCAAGCGTGTTACAGACAGTGGATAGACACTAACCGGGGGAGATAGAGTATCTGATGCTCGCATTTTCACAGTTCCACTCGCTGTTCTCATATCGAAAAATTCAAATGGAGAGTAAAGCGGAATCTGTCTCAGGTATCAGCACAACTTCTGGAAGTCATATGTTGTTGAGATCAAATATCTGCTTGACTGCGTGACCTGCTTAATGGTATTCTAATCTCAGATAACTCATTATCTCTTTGTCAGCCTCAGTGAAAAAAAAGGTTTAACAAATGATTGGATGCACAACCTTTCCCCGGCAACAGATCCTTACGGAAACGCTGATATTTGTGCCTCTATCATGAGGCGACTCATCGTTTAATGACTGGGGACACAATCACAAACAGAGGGCTGACAGATCACTGCTGAAGACATTTAGCTGCTAACGGTTTGACTTCTTATCACAGCAGCATGTTGTTCGTTCATTTAGCAACTGCTGTCATCCAGACAGAAAGCCTGCTATTGGTTTCATCTGCTCCCACAGCTCTATCCACACCTCAATTATGGCTGCGTTACCTACTGTACAGGGAGGCAGATTAAACAAACTAGTGAAGGCACGTCTCCGGGGGACATGTGGGTGTCAGTGGAATCACAAGCAGGGTAATCACTTCAGAGAGCCAGAGGGGGAGAGAAAGGGAGAAAGGGAGAGAGTGAGCGAGAAACGGAGCGCCGAGCCTGTTAGTGGCTTCAGATCACAGGCCATCTTCAGTGAGTGGATGAGAATGCCAAACATGTCCCACAGGGCTCCCACTTTAAATAGCGAGAAGGAAACCTCTCGGAAATCCTTTTCCTTTTGGCAGTCTGTGATCGGAGGGCCCACAGGAGCTATTTGTGAGCGACTGTGTACACAGTCTTAGCCCACACACACACACACACACACACACACACACACACACACACACACACACACACACACACACACACACACACACACACACACACACACACACACACACACACACACACACACACACACACACACACACCACACACACACACACACACACACACACACACACACAAAACCTCTTTGCAGCAGACATGCCACACATGTAGACGGGTATATACGAACACGTATCATATAGTGTGTGCAGACATGTCGTGCCAGATTGCGTGCCTCAGCAGCCCACACTGAATCCACAGGGAACAAAGAGCAGGGCCTACTGTAAGCCTCCATCATACAAAGTTTAAAGGATTCAATTGTAAACAGAGTACATAATGAATAAGACATGGTTATATGGTTACATGACACTGCCATTACTATGGATTCATTCATTCATCTTTTAGACAACAAAACATACATCAAATGTAATATAGCTCAATTGATACATTCAGACAGCATTCAGTCCAAAATGTTAATTATAATATATAATAGTTTTTTTGCCTTTTTGCTTTAAGAATAATTGACAATTTATTCTGTCAATTACCTAATCCATTAAATCAACTAAAAGTATCTGCTTTGATCTCTACAGTTTGACAGAAAATAAAAAAGTTGTTTTAATCGCACGTCCCGGCGCACTCTCCCATCCCAGATGTGGAGCGTATACAGTAAGTTACTTTTATGATGAACAATGTCTGCAACTAATTATAATCAATAAATGTGTTCATTATTTCCCTAAACCGTCATTAATGAAATGTAATAAAAGGCTTTAAAATGTGGGGCACAAAATCTCAGAGCCAAAGGTGAAGTGGTCAAAATATTTAAAATAAAGGAATTTAGATGTATCTGCAGATCTAAGAAGGATCAAGCACCAAAGCTCTTCTAAATCGACAGAACCTTTGCGTAAAGAATGACCTGAACATATCCAAATGATGGCTGATGGATTAAGCTCCATTTTCAGTTGATTCATATTGAGTACTGAAAAAAGTTCATTACAATTTCCATGAGCCAAAGGTCATCCTTCAAAGTGCTTGTTTTGACTGACCAAAGATATTCAATTCACACTGATATAAACATAGATAAGAGGCTCATTCTTGTATTTGCAAGAGGAGAACTTGTGAATGTTGGAAATGTTTGCTGATAATTGCCTAAATTGTTAATAATTGACTAACCAAATTGTTGTCCTGGTACTACTTTTTTGACATCCGCTTCACATATTAAGACTCAGGCTTTCCCACTTGAGCAAAACAAATGCAACATTGTGTTTCATGAAATATACCGCAGAACATTCAGCTCCAAAGAATTCTTCTGCTCTCTTTCATTCTGAGGTGAGAACATTATTCAACAAAGTGTACAAATGTAAAGCTTTAGGGCGTCTGGAACATTCTTCCTCTGAATGCTTCACATCAATTATTTCACACGTCTGTGTCGGAAGTGAGCATTTTCAATTTTGGAGACACTACTTCAATTTAATTCTTGAATAATACAGGACAGCAATTGAAACAACATCGTATTTACCCCCGTGGAGACGATCGCAAATACTTTCGAACTATTTCAGCTGGGCATAAAGGAATCATGAAAGGCCTCGCCGCTCCCCAGCGTCCCTTTGCGCAGGGAATGAAACCAGTCTTACTATCAAAACTTCAAATAGTTCCTGTAGAACTAATGCAATGGTGACGGGGCGGGAGGGGGAGTTCATTACACTTTACTCACTTTCTTTCCTTTCATTCCTCAAGCCTCAGAAGTGTCTCTCCTCTGTTACATCGAAAGTCAAAAGAAGGACTGAAGAGAAAAATCTTTTCTTCTTTTCTTTTTAAAGAAGCACATTCCCTGTGAGCTAGAGAGGCTGAGAATGGTTAGACAATTTAATTGGATAAAAGGAAAAGATTAAAGGGGCCCTGACTCTGTTCCATAAATAATTGATTTCTAATGTATTTGTAGTGGCAGTGAGACGCTGTTGTTTGGGAATGGGGGATGTTGAGTGGCAGAACGCTTCAGATTTCCCTCAGTCTTTGCCTTCTTTGTTTTTTCACGCCGTGATATTGAAGCAGCATGAAAGGCAGAGAGGGAGCATACTTGCAGCTCAATTTGATCTTACATCGTCAGAAATCAAAGATCGTGCATGTAAAGAAGATCGCAAGGAACTTTTTTGTGGGAGACCAAAACTTTTCACACTATGTTACTAAAGAATACAATGCTGCTGGTGCAACCCTTGCAAA